CGACTGGGGGGACGTGGCGGGCTCGCTGCTCGAGTACGGCTGGGCTGACGAAGAGGAGGGCGTCGATAGCGGGGGCGTCGATAGCGGGGAGGACTTCTGGTCGGCCACCAAGTCGGCCATGGAGGCCCTCGACCCGCCCGGCGTGTATGTCTCGAGGAGCCTGTCCTCTGTCCTGCGTGTGCAGACAAGGGTGCCGGTGCTGTTCTGTTGCTCAGCAGGTCGGTGGGGCGAGGGGCTCTGTGTGTGAAGAGGGTGGAGGGCAGTGTCTCGTTTGTTTCATCGCTGCCTACACTTTATATCCTGACTGAGACTTCGAACATTTCTCTGCCCGCCTACGGTTGCCTACGATTGAGGGCATGTCGCTGGCTATGTGTTCGGGACAGACAGACCGATGACACGATTGGATTTTCACTCAATGTCTCACCGACGGTGAGCGCATCCCTTCTTGATACAATTGGAGAGGCGACCTCCCGTCCAGTGCGAAGGCATGATATCTGGCACCAGGCGAGTAACCCCAGCCAGTGAATGATCAGACATCCCCGCCCCGCAGTGAACGGTGGCCAGCCACCCATCGAAGCAGATAGTCAACACAGCAGCAGCATTGTCCATCACCCACCCTCCATGCATCCCTCCTTCCCTCCACTTGCCCATATCCCTCCAGCTGACACCCATCACCACACGACACCCAAGATTCGTGTGGTGACAAGCCCGTGTGGCGATGATCCACCCGACCAAGCTCGAGACAAGACAAGGGTCGATCGATCGATTGATCGTCACGGCCACGACCCAGACGCAGACACCTCCCGTCCTTCTGTGGTTTCCCGTCTGTCTGTCTGTCTCAGTCATCCATTCATTCAGAGGTCGAAGTCATCGTCTCCCATGCCCTGATTGGCAAACATGGAGGCCATCGTCATTCCGCCCTTCTTGGCACCACCGCCGCCGGCTGCTGCAGATGGCGCGGCGGCACCCGCATGCTGATAATGGATAGACAAATAGACGCAGCACACACACAAGGCAAGACAAGGTTTCATCACTCACTGGAGGAGACCCCTCCATCCCTTTCACATCCACACCCACACCCACACACCTGTTGCTGTTGTTGCTGCTGGTTGGCCAGTCCGAGCAGGTCGTCCATCATCATGTCGCCTGCCTTCGGCGGCCCTTCAGGTGAGTGACCTGACCCAGGCGAGATGGGTGACAGACCGCCCGCAGACACCGGCTGGGCGGGCGGAACGGGGACCAGCTGGGGAAGCGGGGCCGTCGCCTGAGCCGGTCGCTGTGCAGCAGGTGGCCTCATGGGGGCTCTGACACACACACACACACACACACACACAGGCATGTGCAAGCGAAGGAGAGACACCCTCCCGTGTCTTTTCGGTGATCTCACGCTTTGACGGCGGGTTTGCTCTTGGCCGCTGGCATGTACTTCGGCGCAGCAGCCTCCACTTTGGGCTCCTTGGCTGCTGGATGCGTGAAGCCCGACTCGAATGCCTGGTCGGCCGGGCGCTTGCGTGGGGGCTGGGGGGGAGGGGCGGGTGCAGCAGCAGACGGCTGCGATGGAGCGGGGGCCTCGAGGAAACCTGACACAGACGATGAAATCCAGCAGATCTTGCTGGCCCACTCACACAGGCACTCACGTTCAAAGTTGAACATTTCGTCCGGGTCCAGGCTGTCGTCCTCCTGCTTGTCCCAGCGCGCCTTGGGCCTCCTGGTGGGCCCCTCCACCCGCTCGCGCAGCAGGGCCTTCTTGCGCCGTATCAGCCGCTGCGTGAGACCGTGCTCGATGAAGTCGCTGTAGGCCAGGTCCTTGGCGGTGGCGAACGCCCTGCCGGAGCGCTTGCAGATGTACCACCGCACAGAGGGGCTGAGCGACTCGATATACTTGATGGGCTGGTAGCACCTGCAGACCAGACACCCATACATCGGTGATCCACTCCATCGATCGCTAGAGCTGCGCATGTTCATTGGTGCATGCCATGCATCTTGCTGTCTGCCTTACACGATGCATTTCTTGGACTCCTTTGACTTGAGGCCGCAGGCTCCGCACATGACGTGATAGCACGGGGCCTGAGCGAAGACACGCAACGGCCAATGCGCGCACATTCCATGTCCCATCGCTTCCTCTCCCATCCCCTCCATGTCGTCTGACCATTCTGATCTTGACAGCCATGGGCACGCCACATTTGGGGCATGGCGTGAGGGCACTCTCATCGCCACCAACGCCCTTGATGACCGTCGCAGCGACCGCCTGGATCCTCACACTCGACGGCGGGGGTGGCGGGGGAGGGGGAGGACGGCCGCGACGGGGGAACCTGCACACACATGGGTTCCATGAGTCGCATGAGTCACATTTATCTCTCGGCATCACACAGCCACTGCATTCGTACCATCCGCCAGACGAGGGAGGAGGCCGGAAATGTCCAGATCCCTCATAAGGCGGACCCTCGTAGCCCATGGCGTCCATTCCGCTGTCGTATGGCGGCGCCTGATGGTCGTAGGGAACATCGTAAGGCGGCGGGAAGGGGCGAGGAGGTCCGCGTGGAAACATGTGGTGGCCGAATCAGTTGACACTTGTCATGGGTTGCTCGTTATGCGATGCAGACAGAGCAGATCTCTTTTCCTCCCCCTCTCCTGCAAAGCCAAGCTCGCACCTCCAAGCTAAGCTCGCAGATCCCTCCCCGCGCTCAAGTCCTTCTTCGGCGTTGCAGTACAGCTGCTGACGAAGCGCTTCGTCCCCTGAGTCAGCTCATCTCGCAAGGGCGACCAGATTCCGTGGGCCAAGTCACATTGTCGTTCGGCGTCAGCAGGCGTCAGCGACGTCAAGAAGCGTCAGCGCGGCTCCTGATCCAAAGGACAAGGCAGCCACACGACACCTGCGACAGCCTGGGGAGTCTGAGTCATCCGAGGTGATTTGCATGTGAGAGCGGCATGAGCGACTCAGCAGCCCCCGAGATAGCCATCGACCCCTCTGTGGCCGAGAAGGAACCCCTGCTGCCCGTCTTCACCCCCACGCATGGCGGATACGGCGGCGGCAGCAAGGCGCCAGGACTCACCATTGAGTTCCGTCGGCTGTCTTATTCCATCCTGCCCGCCAAGAAGGGGGCGCAGCCTCACCGCATTTTGAAGGAGATCAGCGGCATGGCGAGGCCGGGATGTCTCATGGCCATACTCGGACCATCCGGATCAGGTCAGCTAAGCACATGCAGTCATGTCACTCAGGGATGCACTTGTGTTTTGTGTGTGGCTGTGTCTGTGTTTGTGTGTGTGTTGATTGATCCCTCAGGCAAGACGACCCTGCTGCACTCCCTGGCCGGCCAGCTGGCGTACGTCAAGGGCGCGACCCTCTCGGGCGAGGTGATCGTGGGCGGCACCCCACTCGCCAAGTCCACGCACCGGCAGGCCTTCGTGCAGCAGAAGGACGTCTTCTACGGCCAGCTGACCGTCCACGAGACGGTCCTCATGGCGGCGCGCCTGCGGCTGCCGTCCAAGCACTCGACCAACGACAAGGAGGCCTTTGTGGGCGAGCTGCTGAGCCAGCTGGGGCTGGCCAAGTGCGCCAACACGCTGGTGGGGGACGATAAGAGGCGGGGGGTCAGCGGAGGAGAGAAGAAGCGGCTCAGCCTAGGGTGCGAGCTGGTCGGCACGCCTGCCGTCATTTTCGCGGACGAGCCAACAACGGGACTCGATGCCTTTCAGGTACGGTGCATATGCAGTGGCACACCGTGCAGCGGGATGCACGTTGATCTGTGTGTCGACAGGCGGAGCGTGTGATGGCGTCGCTGCGGAGCTTGGCTCACGACCAGGGCAAGACGGTGATAGTGTCCATCCACCAGCCGCGCAGCTCCATCTGGACCATGTTCGACGACGTCATCGTCCTGTCGGAGGGAGAGCAGGTCAACCAACCGACACAACAACCACACACACACACGCACACACACACACACTCTACCAGCTAACGAATACCATGTGTGTGCAGGTGTACTGCGGTCTGGCCAGCGACATGGTGGGGCACTTCAGCCGTCTGGGCCACCAGTGCCCGCCCAACTACAACCTGGCTGAGTTCTGCGTCGACCTGGCCTCCATCGACTTCACATCCACCGAGGTGAGAGCGACTTGATTGATTGCATTCCCGCAAAACACACGAACCGTGCATGTCTGCCTATCTGTGGTGGGTGTGGTGTGGTGCTGCTAGGCTGAGGAGTCAAGCCGTGCTCGCGTGCAGCAGCTGGTGACCGCCTGCAGGGACAGCAACCCCATTCACCAAGAGGCCATCAAGAGCGGGTGGGCAAATCTGAACATCCCGCCCTCCACTGTAGTCAATCTATGCGGGTGCGATTGTGTCTGTCTGTCCCCCAGGACGCTCTTCAGCGCCCCTTCGGCGTTCAACATCCGCCCGTCAGTCATCACGGCCCCCCTGGCGCCACTGTGGGAGCAGTTCGCACTCCTCTTCATGCGCTCCTGGAGGCAGGTGTGCACACACACACACACACACAGATGGATGAGTGAATGGCTATGTGTGTGTCATCTTGTCAGGTGTCTCGGGACAAGTTTACGAACCAGAGTCGGTTCGGCAGCGCGCTGTTCTCGGCCATCGTGTTCGGCTCGATCTTCTTCAGGATCCAGAACTTCCAGTCGCACATTCAGGACAGACTCGGACTCCTGCAGGTGATCCATAATCGGACATCCAGGATGAGTGGATGGATGGATGGATGTGCGTGTGTTTATGTGCAGGTAGCGGCGATCAATGGTGCGATGTCATCACTGATCAAGACCATCACGGTGTTTGTGCGGGAGAGGGAGGTCGTCACTCGAGAGAGGGAGGCGAAGCTCTACCGAGTCACGCCCTACTTCATTGCCAAACTCGCCGCAGAACTGCCCATAGGTGGGTGCGACGAGAGAGAAATGCACACAGGGGATGCGTGGGCATCTGCCCACACGTGTGTCTGTGTGTGTGTGTCTGTGTGTGTGTATAGGTGCGTTTTTCCCTTGTTTCTTCGGCGCGGTGATGTATCCGCTGGCGGGGCTGAATCCCTCGTTCATGCGGTTCCTCTTCTTCATCGCCACCATCACACTCGAGTCGTTCGTCGCATCGGCATTTGGACTCTGGTACGGTTCTGCCACACACACACACACACACGGCCTCACTGTACTCATCATGTGTGCGTCTTCGGTGCAGCATCAGTGCGTTTTGCCCGTCCTATGAGGCAGCGATGGCGATAGCTCCTGCGGTGATGGTGATATTCATCGTCTTCGGCGGCTACTACATCAACCCCGACAACATTCCGTGGGTCTTCAGATGGCTCGACAACATCTCGCTCATCAGGTACACACAGACGTGTTTGCTCAGTTGTCGTGCTATATCATGTACCCGTGTCGGCCTTTTTGCCCACAAGGTGGGGCTTTGAGGCCCTTTGCATCAACGAATTCACGGGGCTCAAGTTCGAATGCGACTATGCTGACCAACCGGTGCACACACACACACACACACACACTTACCCTAACGTCTCTCTCTTTGATATGTGTCTGTGTGTGTGTGTCCATTCAGGGCTGCCTGCGCACCGGCGAGGAGGTGCTGGCCCGTCTGTCGTTCGACCAGACCACCGTGGCCAGCTGCTGCATCTCTCTCCTGCTGCTCCTCCTGGCCTACTACCTCATCACCTACGTCGTGCTCGTCTCATCCAACCTCCGCCTGCAAAAGATCGAGCCCCCCAACCACGGCAGCCCCAAGGGCGGCTCACCCACTCACACGCAGACCACCCACACCCCACCGCCCCTCTACACGGACTCGGCAACGGGCAGCAGCGGCTCACCCACTGCCAGATCCAATTTGAGCGGCGCTGCGGTCCAGCAGCACAACCAACAACACAGCCAACTGCCACAATCTGGCCACCAGGCAGCGAATGAGGGGCCGCGTGCAGCCGAGGGGGAGACTGGGGTTGGCGGCGGGGATAGCACGGCGGCGCGCACTGTGACCAAGGAGACGGACGTTGGGAGCGGTGGCGACGAGGTGCCGGTGAGCGTGCTGGATGGCGAGAAAGACACGCACAAGGGCGGCGCTGCCGACATGGCGGGAGGCGAGGGGCCCACCAAGGTGCGTGGCTGAACGAAACATGACATGACCTACATGCGATGCGTGTGGGCTGGGGGTGTGGGTGGGTGCCTAGCTGCCTAGATGGACGTGTCCATGTGCCTGGGGGGGTGTGAGTGCGTAGACGCGAGAGGCAGGCAGGCAGGCAGGCAGGTAGGCAAATAGGAAGCAGGCTTTGCGGCAGACAGACAGAGAGGCAGGCAGGCACCGACACGTAGATCGTCTTGTATGTATTTTTCAGACCAGTGAGTGCATATGAGACGATAAGGCAGACAGACAGAGAAGGACCGACAGACAGAGCTTTGTAAGGACAGCAGCTTGCCTCTACTCAAGGGCAAGCACTCGTAGCCTCCACCCCTCCCCCTTTCTGACCCCTCCCCCCTTCTGAGTAGCTCCGCCTTTTAATGGTCGTTTCTCGTTGCCTTCTGGCTGGCTGGCTGGCTGGCTGGCTGTCTAGCTAGCGCGCCTAGCAAACGCACGGACGTGATGCGATGTTAATGCCATCCCTGTACGCCATTTGTACCTCTCCTCCACCCATGTGTATGTATGTGTTGGGCTTGCTGCAGATGAGGCGGCGAGCTGCCAAGCCCCCGGATGACTGACTCTCACCCAACACAATACAACTCTGCACGCGAATGGCCGGCTGGCTGGCTGCTCGCGTCATCGATCATCGATGGGTTGGCTGCTCAGCATGTGTGTGTGTGTGTGTGTGTGTGGATTCGTTTGCTTGGTCGTATTCCGTCCCTCGTTCCATGGGCTCTGCAGCTGTCATCCTCTCCGAGAGAGCCGATGGCCGCAGGCAGGCTCATGGATGGGTGGATGGACAAGATGGGAGGGAGGGAGGGAGGTCCGTGTGGACAGTGCAATGCAATGCAGCGTGGCGTAGCCAGCTAGACTAGACGCTATGTAAACGGATGGTTTGCTTTATCTGTATGTGGCTGGCTGGCTGTCAATGCAATGATGCGTCTGAACGTGGCTGTGCTCGCGTCTGTCTGTCTACACAATGCATTGATGGATGGACAATCAGGTGAGACAGACCCACGGTCGCCCTTGTTTGTGATCAATCATTGAGTTTTTGCAAACAAACGCAGTGAGTGGTCTTCGCGCCACACACACAAATATACCAGTCGTGTCGTGCAGAGCCCGATAAATCAATATGCCGGCAAGCTGTGACGTCCCCACACGAGATGAATGCGCAGAGTAGCATCTCTCGAGCGCATCGGTCTGACCGTCGTGAAAACCCGGAACACACACGCATGTGGCGTGCTGTTGGGGGGCGCTTTGGTGTTCACTCGAAGCCCTTCTCGTAGTAAGTCTTCAGAATGGCGTCTCGCTGCGCATCCAACACCTGTGGGCAGACAGCAGGGGAGTGTAGACGTGCAAGCGTGAGTGAGCGGTTGGTATGCGACCTGCGCGAACTGACCTCTCGAGAGGACCCCTCGTTGCTCCCTGACTTCTCCACAGCATCCCGCACCCTGCACAAAGACACTCAATGAGGCCCCTTGACTCCATTGGTCATGTGTCTCTGTGTCTCGTGTACCGTTGATTGAACGCTTCGATGGTCATGTCTGTCTTGCTCAACAGATACACGAGCTCATCCCTTTCAGCCTGACACACCAACCAGCCAACACAGACACACAAGTGACAACTGGCGCCTGACCTGCATACACACATGTGCATCGCATCAATCAGGTGACCTGACCTGCAGCCAGTTCTCCTTGGCGCTGGAGACAGCATCTTGGAGCGAATACAGATACGCGCGCTTCTCCACCCTGAGAGCGAAAGACACTGTTGTACGTGATGAGAGAAAAATCCCTTCATCGCATGTCTTTTTTGTACCTGCCGTGGAATGACAGTCGCTCGACGGTCTTGGGCAGAGGGTTCGCAACGGAAGAGGCCAGCGAAAACAACACGATAGTGCTCGTCCAAGCCAACTCGACTGAGCAAAACAACACCGACGGACATGGAGGGACAATGCACATGCGTGCCTCCAGGCAGGGCAGCCGACCGACCCTTTTTCTCCCCTCCTTGGATGTCAGTCTTCCCCTGCCCCTCCATTTTCTCGTCCTTCTCACCACACCCATCCACAGAGGCTGTGGCCGGCCTTGGTGCCCTCTTATCCTCCTGCTCCTGCTCCTGCTGCTGCTGCTGCTGCTGCCTGCCCTTGTCCTTTGGGTGGGCAGAGGCTGACTCAATGGAGGCCGCTCGCTCACGGACAAAACCCGTGGCGGCCACGGTGGGGGCCTCATCAACTTCGCATCCGTCGGTGCTCGATGCGACCGTGGGCTGGCTCTGACATGATGCGTCTGCAGACAGCGTAAGCACAATGAGCATGTGAGCGGCTTCTGTCAACGCTGGAGCTACCGGTGGGTGAGGGCCCCTGGCGATAGAAGGAGAAGTCGCTGTTGCCTTCCTTCGGCTTTGACTCATACCCTGCCAGAACACATCAATGCACGCGCATGCACACGCGCACACAGGCGCAGAGAAAACTGCTCTCTGTTCCTTTGCATACGGGTGGCATTGCGATGGGAGAGGCGGCTCATGGCCTCGCGGAGCTCCGCTGAGGCCATGGTGAAGAGCCCTCAGCCCTCGTGGGGCCGACCGACACAGGTGGACGGTGAGAAGGGGGGTACGAACGTGAATTGAGAGTAGGGCCCTGCAGCAGACAGGTGTTTCCGACTCGGGAGTGAGGGAAAGAAGGTGAAAGAGGGAAAACGGGGGGACGAAAAGGATCGCTTGCGAGCTCAGAAGAGGCCCAAAACTCTAAAGACGAAAAACAAGTCGTCATCTGATCAAGATGGGTGCCCAGTTCAGCATGTTCGTGAGGGAGTGGTTGTTCATACGGACTTCCATTCTCAGATCCGAAAGAAACGTTCGTTCATTCAACGCAGAAGCGGTGTGTGGCGCCCGATACGTTATGACGAAGCTGCCGCCACCGTGCGACCTGCCCATTAGCGAACGAGCCGCCATCGCGCGATTCATCTCGTGAGCAAAGGAGAAAGAGGCAATGACATGGACAGACAGACAGACAGACAGACAGATGCCTCTCTCTTTCCTGGCTTTGGTTGGCTCAGGTACAGGTATTGGTGGCTCGTCCAGCTGTACATGCTGCTGCCCACAAGCTGGCTGATCCGCCTCATACAGTGGAGCGACAAGTGGAAGGGCGGCGTACGCGAGCAATAGCCCACCAATGTGTGCACCTCCCGATCCACTTGATGCATCCGGCTGTCTGTCTGTCTGTCTGTCTGTCTGTCTGTCCGTCGCAGGGCGCGGCAAGCATCTTCGGTACGGACACACACAGGCAGGCAGGATGTCTGCATCTCCCTGTGCTCTCCGTTCGATGCGTCAGCCCGTACCAAGCTGGTCGACAAGCTGATTCAGGATGGCGTTGAGGCCGCGGCAACCGATAAAGTGCCGCTGCAGCTCGTCATACTGGGAGCCGGTGAGCGAGCGAGGCAATACGACCACACTCATCCATTGGCATCCTCCCTTTCTCCCTCCGTCTCTCTGCGTGTGTGTGGTGTGGTGTGGTCAGGTTATGACACGCGGTGGCACCGGTTCGCCGGTCTCCGCAAGCAGCATGCCGTCAAGATGTTCGAAGTTGACCAGCAGGCCGTGCAGCAAGACAAACTGAGCCTCATGAAGGTGGGTGGGACCTGAACACCGCCTGAACCACACACACACACACACACACAAGAAGTCCTTCAGGTGAGTGTGTTTGTGTGTCTGCGTGTGGGTGTCCAGCACCGTTCGGTGGACCCTGCGTCGTACGAGGACGTGCGCTTCGTGTCGTGCGACTTCAACACAGAGAGCCTCGAGAGTGTGCTGCTGGACGCTGGCTTCGTCAGAGGGCAGAGGAGCCTCTTCATCTGGGAGGGTGTGACCATGTACTTGACGGAAGAGGGCGTCGCAGCCACACTGGCCGCCGTGAGGGTAAGTACCATTCTGTGCTTATGTGTGGTGGATGTCCAGTCCTCTCTCTGTCTGGTTGTGTGGGCATCATTTGATTGTGGCCTCTCAGAGTCTGTCGGTGGACAGCACCATCACATTTGAGTGAGCAGCCACACAGACAGACAGACAGACAGACAGACATGGACCGATCCCATCCCGACATGTGATGATGTGTGTCCTGGTGTGGTGTGGTGTGGTGTGCAGCTACATCGACAAGGCCCTCATCGATGGGGCCGTGGATCCCTTCTGGTCCAGGGTGGTAGAGATGATGAAGCGCAACAAGACGCCCATCACTTATGGCATCGTCAAGGGCGAGGTCAACAAAATGCTCAAGCAGCATGACTTCGAGGTGGTGCATCACTGGGACCACGAGGACATGCGCGACCACTTCTTGCGCGACGCAGAGGGGAGGCCCTTCGGCGACTGCAGTCGGTTCGGGGCCTTTGTGCAGGCACGGCCCATCAAGCGATAGATGGATGGACAGAGCGACACGCATAGTAGGAGGGAGGGAGGGAGGGAGGGCGTGGGAGAGGGGGAGGGGTAGAGGCTGCCTTGTGTTTTGGTGTCTAGTGATGGTGTGTATGTGTCGCCTCGCCCGACCCGAGAGCACACACGCCGGCCACCCACCGCGGTCACGCTGTGAAAGCTGAGTGAGGCCGGGATGTGTGTGAGTACTTACTGTCAAGTCGTCGTCGTCCTGTCAGTGCAGTGATCGATGTGTCGTGGGCTGGCCGGGCCGGCTGGGATCGGATCGTTGTCCAGAAATCTGTAATGTGCGGCTGACTGCACTGCCTGCCTGCCTGCCTTTTGTGTATTTGTTTGTTGCGACTGACTCACTACTTTAGTCAATTCTGTCACACATGGCATGGACGGAGGTGACCACCCACCCACACACTCCCCCACCCACACACGACACACAGCAGGGGTCTGTGCGGTGCGGCTGGCAGTATGTACCACCTCACCACATCCTTCCTGTCTGTCTGCGCCACATCCATCAGTGCAGTGTTTACACACGAACGCAGACACACAGTCCGATGCGCTCATGTGGAGGGGGTTGCACTGCACTGCAAAGGCAGCGCACAAACACATACGGGTGAATGACTGGATGGCGGGCGCTGACTGATCGAGTGTGTTGCACTAGTCGTGTGTGTGGGTGTGCAGGATTGCATCACACACACACACGCACAGACGCGCCCCTCTCTCTCTCTTGCTTAACTAACTAGTACACAGCCCACCCGTGCGTGTGTCTGCGTGTAATTACAGAATAGTTAGGGTTTAGATCAGCAACACATCCGCAACCCATCCTGCCTCAATCCTGTAAATTCACCAGGCAGTCCCAAAGAGGAGTCCCAGGGATTTTTGGATGTTGCGCCCTCGTCCCGTCTCCCTCGCTATCTCGTCATTCATCATGATGCGCAGCTCTGCCGCCCTTGCCCTTGTGGCCGTCGCCTTGTGCCTCACTCAGATTCCTGCAGCTTTCATCAGCGGCTCTCCTCCCGTCAATGGCCGGAAATGGGTCGAGGGGTTTTGCCGGAATGATCCTGCTTTAGCGATTCAATGGGGGGCTCCCGTGGGGCCGGCGCCGTTCACGGCTGGATGGGGTGAGAATGATGGATGGGAGGAACGATCACCTTTGCTGTCGCCTTGTGTGCTACAGGCACTATTGGATGTGGGATCGGAGGAAGAGGGGGGGGGAACATTCACAAAGTCTACAGTGATTTCATTTTTTACACGCCTGGGGGCTTGAAAGGAATCTCGGATGAGAAATTCAAGAGAAACATTCAGGTCCCTTCAGAGTTTAAGGACGGCGCATCTGGGGGATTCATCGGGCCGTGCTGTGTGCGCATCTGCCTTTTGCTCAGGACGTGACACCTGAGTCGATGGAGGAGGCCTATGAGAAGGTATGCGACCCACTCGGGACGCGTCACACGCGAGATGGGCGCACACTTATCGTGTCTTCTTCCCAGTTCGCCGACATACCACTGAAAACTTATCAGTTCGACCCGGACAAGGGGAGACGGCTCAGCGATGAGGACGGCAGCCAAGTGCACCTCGGTAAGGCCCTCGGCAAATAAACCCACTACTCCAGTGTGTCTGCCTGACTGATACGTCCGCAGGTCTGACGGCGCAGGATCTTCAGAAGATTTTTCCAGGTATGGCAAACGACACATCTCCCTCACGGAGGCTCACCCATGTCTGCTCATGCAGAGGCCGTGACCAGCGAGGTCGAGCAGGTGGCTGAGCAAGGCGATGAGGAGACCGGCGACAAGGAGCCCCAGCCTGAGGAGACCTTGTACATCGACATGGTAAGTTGGCAGATTTTGGAACGGAGGATGGCTGGTTCCGGTGGCGCAGTGTGGGTCTGTCTGTCTGTCTTTTCAGGATCACATGTTCTACTCGATGACCGGCGTAGTGCAGGAGCTGCAGAAGCGCGAGGCCGCGTTGGCGCAGCGTGTGAATGCGCTGGAGAAGCAGCTCGCCTCTGTCATGGAACAGCTCGCCGGCACGCCCACGGAGGACAAGACCACCGGAGCCGCTGAAGACGGGGGCTCGCGTGTGAGTCTGAGAGGCGGAGAGCAGCCTTAGGCAAATTGGCCTTAGTGATGGAGTGTCTGTGCCCGACTGCCCTTGGCTGAGCTGGTTCCTTGCGTGAGTGTCTGCTCTTCCGAACTGGTCCACCGGGATGGCTGCGAGAGCTGTACACCTTACAGCAGTGATTTTTCCACTGCTCTTAGACATTCGTTCAAGCCTATGCGGTATGTGAGAGGGAAATGAGGGTAGTCAATGCATGGGGCACTCGAGGATGGCCGGCCACACCCTGGGGGGCCAGCTGAGAGTGTATTTTTCCCACAGTGTGTGCGTAAGGAGACGGCATTTTTCGTCCCGTCCGTCATGCGTGTCCGCGTGCCGTTTTGTGTGATCGAGTAAGTCGACTGATTGCCTTTGCTGCCTTTGATGGTTGGCGGTATGTGTGTTCAGGGGTGCTTGCGCGTATTGGCCAGAACACGCGGGACTCATGGACGGGCAGGCTTCAGGTCAAAAAGCATTCGGGGCAAAAGAAAAAAGGCTGCGTGAAATCGGTTCTCAGATCTTCAATTGTCTGTCCACACAAACACACTCACTGTAACCCCCACACACACATGACATCGTAGAGTCAGACACATGGAGACGTGCCACCCAGCCAGCCATGCAGCCCGTGTGTGTATGTACGTATGAGTCAGCCATGCATTCACGTGTGTGCGACACTTTCTGGTAAGGGGATAAGTGTGTGTGCGGCGTGTGGCTGCTCGAGATTGTGTATGTCTCGCCTCGCCCGACCCGAAAGCACACACGCCGGCCACCCACCGCGGTCACGCTGCGTGTGAAAGCTGAGTGAGGCTGGGCTGCGTGGGAGTCGTCGTCGTCCTGTCAGTCAGTGATCGATGTGTCGTGGGCTGGCCGGGCCGGCTGGGATCGGATCGTTGTCCAGAAATCTGTAATGTGCGGCTGACTGCACTGCCTGCCTGCCTTGAGTGTATTTGTTTGTTGCGACTGACTGACTACGTAAGTCAATTCTGTCACACATCGCATGGACGGAGGTAACCACCCACCCACACACCGACACACCGACACACAGCAGGACATCGATTGAATTGATGCGTCCCTCTTTCTCTGTTGGCTGACCAGTCAGTCTCCCTGCAGCTAGCTGTAGCAGTGGCATGCAGTCTGATTTAGTACAGCACCTAGGCAGGCCGCCTCTCATTCGATCTCCACATCACATCCATGGCATGACGCGCCAAAGCTCAATCAACCAACACCAACGCTCTCTAAATCTTATGTGTGTACGTAACTTACACGATCGATCGATCGATCGATCAGACAAACAGACCGACGCTCTCAATTGACCCAAAGCAGAGCACTAAATCAATCGGCCCATATATCCGTCAATCAATCAGTCGGTCAGCGATGAAGCGGACCGTCAGTTTGCTGCACCCGAACGTCTCCCCGCCCCTCGCCGAGCCCACCAATGCCACAGCTGACTCGCTGGCCCGCCCCAAGGTGAAGCGCCACCGGCCCACGACGCTCTTCGCCGCACTCGAGCGGGACATCCAGCAGGGACACATCGGCGCCGATCTGCCCACCAACAGCACGGCGGTGGGCCAATGAGACAGAGACACAGAGAGAGGGAATGGATGGATGTGTGCGTGTGCAGGTGCTGTGTGTGTTCAAGTTGCCGGTGTGTGGGAGTGACATGATGCCGAGGCTCGTCGACTCGTGCCCATCCGTCGCAACGCTCTCAGACACACTCGTCGCACGGCACGCAATCCACTCAGACAGACAGACAGACAGACAGAGATTTGCATGTCTGTGCGTCTGTGTGTCTGTGATCTGCAGGCTGCCGTGCAAAGCCGTGGATGAGAGTCTCTGTGTCGACGTGGGTGCGCTGTGTTGGTCCAATGTCGCGCCGCTGTCCATCGCAGAGCTGGCCGGACTCGACCACACACAAGTGACAATGAGACCACACACAAGTGTGGATGTGGATGGCTGGATGTGTTTCATTGTCAGGTGAGTGTGTCTCGAGTGCGTCCGTCGTCGTCTGAGTGGCGCCAATTGGAGGTCGACCTGCAACACACCACACTCATCAACATACCACAACACGAACACACGTAAGCTCTCTCTCTCTCGCTCTCTAAAAAGTGTGTGTGTCTCTGTCACTGTCTGTGTGTCAGTGTGTGTGCTGAGCGTGAGGCTGCGGCTGACGATGAGTTGGCGCGTGAGGTGTGCGCTGCGATGGCCAACCTGAAAATCGTCACGAGCGGCCGGATGTTCTGGTGGGCGTTCACTTCAAGCGCACAACACAATGGGGGAGGACCGGTGCGAAGGCCGTGCGACAAGTGAGACAGCAATGAAGAGAGACAGGGACAAAGAGATATCGTGTGTGTGTGTGTGTGTGGTGATGATGTCAGGGCGCTGTCGATTGTCCAGTCGCTGCGCATCCCCGACTGATGGGAACAACGAATGAATGCATCCAGAACAACGAATGAATGCATTCATGTGTGGACATCGGTGACTGCCTTCTCCTTGACTACAACCGTGTCCACACGCAAACAAGCTATGTAGCTCAACACGGCCGGCAGGGAGAAGGACTGAGCTACATAGCCAGATAGAGAGATAAGCGGTTGCATTATATATGTATGTATGACGAGAGCACGTAAAAGCCAATCCGTCAGTCAGCGATGAAGCGCACTCACAGCTTGTCGAAGACGCCCATTGCTGTGCTCTGATGGGGCTGAAGATGGTGGTGCTGCGTCTATGGCGCTGCTAAAACACAGACACCACAGAGATGGATAGACGGACAACGCACACATGAGTGAGTCTGCAAGTGGATGGATGTACATCCGTCTCTCTCTGAGTGCAGGCGCATGATGACCAGCCAGCTGGCCGTGCGTACATGTTGATGCGGTTGATGTGGCTGTCGGTGGGGTGGCCGTGGTGCTGGTGCTGTACTGGCCCCAGAAGCCTGTTCTGTGGGGCTGAGCTTATAAGCTCAGAGCACGCAGCGATGGGCATCCCTGAATTCAGAGAGAATGCACACCAACCACACACAATCACACAGACAGATAGGTCCGTGCATCCACGAATCCATCCATCCATCCATCCATCCATCTGCCCGCCTGCCCTACTCACCTGTCCCGTGGAATGCGACTGGCCACAGCACATCCTTGCCCTGTCACCTAGAAGCGGTCCTGGAGCTCGGCCTCCGTCAGTGAGAAGGCGTGGCCCGGATGTGGAAGGTCCTCATCCGGGGACGGCCGCGCCCTTCTTGCTCAGCGACTTGTTCGATCATGAGCAGCTCGTCGCCTCTGCCGTGCTGCCATGGAATGGTTGAGGACGCAAGAGGCCGCGCAGCTGACGGCAGATACGATACACACCCGCATGGATCTGCAATCAGCTGCAGATGCATCACACAGTGAATGGAATTGGTTGATTGTTTTTGAGGGAAACTGTCATTAACCGTAACACTCGTCTGTGTGTCCGTGTGTCCTGATACTCATACAAATACAGTCCCATCAGCACGCAGACTCAAACAGGCTCAAGGGGAGGAGGGATCAATCCCCGCCCCATCAGCACACCCCAGTCCCGCAAACCCTCCCCTCCCTCCCCCACGCAGACAGAAGC